AAAAAAAAACATTTGCAGTTAAACTTTAGGCCGACAGAACAACCCTTTTAGGTGTCTGGATATCTCTTTCATTTTGAGCCCATATATGAATGGATTAAGCAGAGGGTTGTATAAAACTACTTGCAATGACATTATTAAGCGCGCAGTTTTCGGTAAATCTGAATCCACTCGAGCCATAATCGTGTCATAAGCCATCACACAGGTAGAACAGATCAAAACCAGCAGGTGGGGGAAGCAGGTCTCAAAAGCCTTTCTCCGGAACTCCTTACAGCCTTTAATGGCTATTAGGAATATCTTTGAGTAGGTAAAAACTGTGAAGAGCACTGGAAATATGACAAGATTCAATAAACAAAAGACCCCGAATATAGTCAGAACCTTCGGTCTCACACACTGAAGTGTGTACATGGCATTGTTACAGAATATTCCTTCGAAGTCAAAGGAACATAATTTAGTTTTAGCAGTCACAATTGTCTGCACTGCAGTAAAAGCACCGGACAACAGCCATGAAAAAGACAAGAGAAGAATCACCCTGGTTTTTCCCATTATAGTCGGATATCTCAGAGGTTTACATATGGACACATATCGGTCATAAGACATGGCCGCCAACAGCAAGAACTCCGAACCGCTAACAGTGTAAAACATGTAATACTGGAAGATGCAGGCAGAGAATGAGATGACCTGTTTCTCAGATAAAAAGTCAATCAGAAGCTTTGGATAAATAACGGTGCCGTAAAGAGCGCCGTTAAACAACACGGCTGCTATGAAGATGTACATGGGTTCATGGAGGCTTTTGTGGACCCAGATCAGGTACAAAATAGTCGAGTTGCTGCATAATATCAAAACATAGATTGTTAGCATGAGAGAAAAATATACATATCTGTATTTTTCAATGTCCACATATCCACTTATGGTTATGTCTGTGGCATTTAAGGTATCCATCAATGTCTATAAAGCAGTGATCTCCAGAGTTAATTCATAACACACGTTTAGTAATAGTTGCATTCATCCAGCACTAACAGTTTGCCAGTTAGCTACCTGAGTAGTCTGTGGGAAGTTCTCCATTTTATCATGTTATTTCCCCCTCCAAGGATGGCTCATCTCTGGAGGCCCGCTCCACTACATCACCTTCCATACATCATTATGTAATCTTTTACAAAGATTACACAAACCACACTATTAGATAACAATACAGACTGAATACAAGTGACAATGTGAAGCCCAAATTAATGATACAGATCGTGTTCCAATTTTTTAAATTCGTCCTGAAACAATAAAATGAGAAATTACAATTGTGTGCTGTTTGTAAAACAACAAAACTTCAGGGATTTATTTTGCAAATATAAACTTTTTTGCATGACAAAGCAATGAATGATTAAACGCCACAGTAGAATACAATCAATGCAGATCATATGAAATACAAAGAAAACACAAAAGTGACTAATCTAGGCAGAATGAAACGACTAAAACTCAGGCCGAGCACTAAGAACCTGAAAGAATTTTAAACCAAAAACAAAACAAAACACTGAAACCATGGATCTCGATGCACAGCTTGTGATTCCCCTTTGCAAAGCTGAAGTCAACTGAAAAAAAATGTCAAAAAACGTGATAGCATTTTGGGGAAAAGGGACTCTGGCTGAGTTTTTGGTGCTTTTAAAAGTGCCTTTGGCCTTCTGAGTGCCCAAAAAGCCACAGGCTTGATAACATGGCTGCAAAGTGGATCTGGTCTTTTGGTTGTTGCCATGTACGTTCAATCTACTTCACCTGCAGGTTGATCCTGACGAAGGCAAAATTTTCAGGTACTTTCCGGTTAGGTTCCCACATATCGAGTACCCCAGGGAGTTTAACAGCTTTTGTTTTCTAAGCAGGTGGCATTTTCACTCTGGAGTTGCTCCATCAAGGAGTTCATATTTCTCTGAGGCTGACACATCTTACATTTTTTTGTTATTGGAAATTCTACCAGCAGCTAATACTCCCAACAAAAATGTCAAAAATATATAATCGCATCTCATTGTCTCTCCATATCGGGATTTATATTCTTGTGTAATTTATTCTTATTTTTAGTTGTTGTTATTTATGTATTTAATGTATTTTATTTTGACTTTATTTATCATTTATTTTGACTTTTCAATTGTATACTTTTTTTTCTCATTTTTATTTCTTTATATTGATTATTTCATTATTATTTATCTATTTATTTTTCTTATGGTCTGCCATACCTGTGGATATCTTTTTAAAGACAATGCACCACAATGCCGTCTTTTCATAAGTTTAAACTCAGTATTGCAAAAATGGTATAAAGTACAGAAAAAAGAAAAAGTTGGAATAAATAAGTCACATTCTCAAAGGTTGTGGGGTCTTTGTTTTACTTCTTTTGTTTTTTAATTCACTTTCAGAACACAGTGGAAATTTGTGGCACAAAAATGAAGAAAGTGGAAAAAAAAAATGCTTTGAGAAGTTCCATAAAACCTGGTAAAACTTACAAAAATAACTCAAATGAAAAAACTCCATGTTCATTTATGCTCCAGTGATGAAAATAAAGAATATTTTGCAATTGAAATTAGTTTCCTATTAAATGCTTTGATGTTATGCTCTGTGTATCTGCTCTACTGGCACAGTCATATCATAACACTAAAAGTGGTCTTTGTATTGAGTGGGTTTCACTAAATAGTAATAATCGCAAAAAACACAGCAGTGCTTCGACACTGAAAACAATCTGCACTTATAATATCAAAGCTTATGTGAGTCTGGTATGATGTCCACAGCCAAGAAACACACTCTGAAGTGAAGGAAATGACCACAAGCTGGACATCAGTGGGTCACCGGATCAGAGCCACAATTGGTCTTCCAAAATTTTTAGGATTACAGAGAAAAATTGTGCAGTTTTCAGTATTTCAGAAACAAAGATCCTGCGAGTGACATTTGCCTCACAAATAACAACAACAGCATGAAATACGGATCATACGTTTAAACTCACTCACACATGGTGAATTGAAGTTTCATAGGTTTCAGGTTGAGCAAAACAGTTTCTTGAGACGTTTTGAAATTTCTTTCATTTTGACCCCATATATGAACGGATTGAAGAGAGGATGGTACAGAACTATCTGCAAAGTCATGATCAGTCGTGCGGTTTTAGGTAAGTCTGATTTGACTCGAGCTATAGCCACATCGTACGAGGAAAAAAGAGCAAAACCCATCAAAACCAACAGGTGGGGCAAGCAGGTCTCCACTGCCTTTTTTCTGAATTCTTTAGAGCTCCTGTGAGATATCACGAATATCTTCGTGTAGGTAAAAACTGTGAAGAGCATTGGAAATATCACGAGATCCAATAAACAAATGACACCGAATACAGTCAGAGCTCTGGACCTTTCACACTGAAGCGTGTACATGACGTTGTTACAGAAAATTCCGTTTAAATCAGAGTTACACAATTTGGCCTGAGCACTCAGGATCGCCTGCACTGCGATGTGACAAGCAGATACCAGCCACGAAAGAACCAGGAGAGCAGTCACGGTGCTTTTTCCCATTATGGTCGGATAGCTCAGGGGTTTACATATCGACACGTATCTGTCATAAGACATGGCCGCCAGAAGTAAGAACTCTGAACTACCGATAGAGTAAAACATGAAAAACTGGAAGATGCAGGCAGAGAAGGAGATGACCTGCTTCTCAGATAAAAAGTCAATCAGAAGCTTTGGATAAACAGTTGTGCTGTAAAGAGCGCTGTTAAACAACAAAGCCGCTATGAAGATGTACATGGGTTCATGGAGGCTTTTGTGGACCCAGATTAGGTACACAATAGTAGCATTGCTGCACATTATCAAGCTATAGATTGTTAACATAAACAACAGATACAAATACCTGTATTTGTTCATTTCCACAAAACCACTGATAGTTATGTCTGTGGTATTTGATTTTTCCATAAATGTTTTAGATACGAGAAACTCCAAAGTTATTTTACAGGACGAATTAAGAGAAAGTTCGCAGCAAAACGAATCCAGCAGCGGCTGCTGTTTTCATCACCTGACAAGGGTGGTAGCTCAGCTCACCGTTAATCTCTGAATATTTTGAGTCTGCAGAAAGTGCTTTGCTTTATCGTGTTGTTTCCCCCCCTCACGTGAGGTCTCGTCTCTGGAGGCCTGCGACACGGAGTATCTTTTTTCTTCATCATTACTTTACCTTTCAACGCTGTCAAATGAGTGTGATACAAACAAGTTAAACCTGTTCACATAGTTTTTTCCCCCTTTTTTTTTTTTTTACAGTTTTCTGGACACAACAGAGAGATGGGTCTTATAAAGGTCCAAGCATGGCATGCTACGAATAAAAAAATATCTCAACATATCTGAGAAATTGAGGCATCATGGGTAACTTACTGCCCAACGGCTGGCCTTTTGATGCATGTCTTTATTCATTCTTCTCCAAATTGTTGAATAAAAATTGTCAAGCTTGTGACTGATAGGAGACAAGTCAAAAGAAGTGGATCTGTATGTGGCCCTCATGAGGATCTTGTCATAGCTTCTCACATTTAACAAACTAAAAATAACCCGGCATTGTATCGAATCGCACGGCCTCAGGTCACAGTTTTGTACATCAGAATTTCAGGATTTTGGATTATTATCTGTGCTTTTGTTAATCTCATCTGAGTTCAATCCCTGCGTCTCTACCTGAATTTTCAGTTTTTCTGGTTTATTTGTTACGAGTTTATTTTCTCCTCTGTGGTTCCAGTTTTCAGTTACCTTTCTTTTTCCTTGGCTTCTCTTTTGGGCATAAGCTCCCTATGTGTGTGTGTATGATAGATAGATAGATAGATAGATAGATAGATAGATAGATAGATAGAT